AGAGGGATGGAAAGAATTTAACCCCTGACAAACATACTGTGTCCCACCTACATGATAAGATTTCCTGAGTATCATGTTTTCATGCAGGGATAAACACATAACATATGAGTTTAGATATGGGCCACGAACTTTGAAAGTCAACACGTCCACCCTAACAATGCCCACTGAGTTGCCAGGCAAATATATCAATAAATAGCAGAGAAAGGAACTGGTACAAACAAATGCATGACACGAAGGAATGTGGGGCAGGAGGAAGTGCAAAATATGTCAACAAAGACTCTGTTTCCCGGGAAGAACAGAGGGATGCTTCTGATGTATCCTACAGATTCAGAGAATGGGTTACTATCAAGTTTACAAAGCCCAGGGCCAACACCCCAGCACGGAGATGGATGACAGAGAGGAACCTCTACCTATAATGCCCTCATCACCAGCCTCCACACGTTCCAGGACTGTTGAGTACTGCCTTGTAGATTTTGGCAGCAGGACATCCTATCGTTGCTCAGTTCGGTTCCTGCTAGTGCAGTTAGTGGAAATAAATTAAAGGAATCATGAGAGAATCTAGCCACGCGACACACAGGCAGGCACCAAGGAGGGAGAACCTGGCTGACCAACACACAAAACCACACACGCACAGGAGAGGGCTAGGGAAGGATAGAGAGCAAATAAAAATATGGAAAGACATTTAAGACATCTGCTGAAGATTCGTAATTATATATATATAAAATTATATATATACGTGCATATAAACTTTATATATATATATATGTAAAACAAAAGATTACTGCCAGGCAACACTATTTGTATTACTGGGATAAAGCTGTACAGTCTCAAGTGTCGTTAATAACACAGCTGGTTTCTGTCCCATCTGAAGGTCACCCCATAGGTTTCGTTCTCCTTGTCCTCATTCCGTGAGCATTCACATCCCTGAAAAACCGAGGGAAGCCTGCTACCTGACAGCCTTCTCCCTCAGAGCGACAAATTTCCCACGCAGCTCAGAAAAGGCAGACCTCTCCACTCCCAGGAAAAGCACCTCAGGGGATCAAATTCCCCTCCATACTCAACAGACCTTCCAGTGAAGTTACCTGGAGTTCAAATGTAGTCAGAACTAAAGGATCTTACTTTCTTATACACATGGAAAAAAACAAAAGAGTCAATCCCTTCTAACACTGTGTATTATTTTAAGTGCTTGATTTATGGGGCACAGTTAAACTGTATCTGCTGGAACGATCCTCAGATAATGATGGGATGATGATGAAGATCCTAGATCATAATAGTGACTGTTACAATAGAAACAACCATGAAGACTAGAAATTTCATCTCATTAATTGGTCACTTGTGCTCTGCGAAATGAGGTAAAACTAGACAGAATTGCCAGGATCAAATTAACAACAGTTGTTTTAACTCGGAGGCCAATTTGTTTTCTGCCACTTCCAATTTCTCTCCCATATTTTCCAAGTAATGATGTGTGTGAGCTGGTGACCACGTAAGTGCTGGTGAATGAGATCAGTCTGTTTGTATTTTCACTGCTAAGCTGTCAAAGCGTTCACATCAAAGGACTGAAGAACAAATTGCAATAGTCACAAGACCCGCATTAAAGGGATGTTTTCATCCATGTGTACACAACTGCCCCCCAGCAACCCCAAAAGAAAACCCAAACAAAAACCCAACCCCGCCTCAAGAAACAGAAGAGCACAAAAGAAGAAGAACAAACAGAGGTGAGAAGAGCTGGGCAACGGGATGAAATGACAGCCAGTAGTGCGACAGGGGCGCGGAGAACCGCTCCAGTCTCTCTAATCCTCAAACACTTCCAGGAACAACGGAGGGAAGAGTTCTGTGGGGCACTCCACCTTCATGTGCAGGAAGCGGCTGGCATGGCAGGCTCCGATCATTCGCAGGTCTGTCACTTTCATCAGCAGTTTTGGCCAAAAGTGTGCAACGTGGTGTTTTCTGTAATTAATGTAGTGTTCGAATGCCAGGAGGAAACCCTCTTGACACTTTTCTATCCTCTCCACACAAACAAGGCCTGGGCGATCTGCAGATGGAAAGCATCAGAATTATCATTATTACTTATTTACTTTAACAAACTCCTGATCATAAATCAGGAAAAATAGTACAATTCTGTTGTTAGGAAAGAAAGGAGGGAGGCTAAGGACATCCGCCTTTGCCCCGAATAACTTCTTTGACTCCGATTACCCCACTTATCAGTATTATCCCTGTTAAAACAAGATGTTTTTTCTTTCTTCACCCCTTGCCTGCTTTGCCCATTTAGAGTATAGCTGTTTGGGAAGTGTTTCACTACAGTGACTACAGCAATGGATCTCAGCTAAGGCTTCTATCAATACCCTTCCATAAAACAACTCATGAAGAACTGAAAAAACTCCTTGTCAAGTATCTAAATTACAGTTCTTTCCTATTTGTCTCTCCACAGTCTGACCAATGCTTTGATCAAGCCTTGATCCACAGGTGAGCTGCAAAGGAAATTGTTATGGAGCACCAAGGGACTAAAAATGCCAGAAGTTTGGCCAGTTGTCTCAACTGGCACCCAGATGGGTGTTAGGAAAGCCTAACATTCACAAGTCACTCTTCAGGAGACACTTCTGGGAAAGCAGGTCCTCTGAACCGCCTTCTGAAACCCCCATTCATGTATCACTGTGCAGGGAACTAAAAAGAAACGAAAATGTTTTGATTGGGAAGGTCAAGTGCTATGTTGTGATTAATGTGGAAACCTTCCTGTCTCAGATGCAGTTAATGCTTGTAAATCACTGTCTGTGTATTGTTTTTCAGTGCCCAATCTTCAGAGTGGTCTTGAAACAAAATCTTACCACATCTGCCACTGCCCAAGAATGGAATTTCCTCTTTGGGCTGGCACAGTCAGTGAAAGCATATTTGAAAACATACGTGATTTGAGAAGGTTGGAGAGTCTTTGGAAATCTCGTGAAACGGTCTGGGCTGCTCCTGTATCATGCCACCCAGAGACCAGGTGCAGATGGTCCCAGCGTGGGGAAACAGCCCAGCTCTCAAGTGCCAACATCAAGCGGTGGTGCTGCCAAGCAGGAAAACAAGATGGCAGGTCAAGCTGAGCACAGGAGACTGACGGGCACGTCCATGAACTGCACGTCCCACCCAGCGCCTGGCAGCACCTCCGCGAAGAGGGAACTTATCGTAAGGACAACTGGTGCTAAATTAGCAGTTTTTAGTTCAAGGCAAATTGGCTCAGAACCAGATCTGTTTTCTTTCAGACGATCTTCCCTGCCTCCCCCGTAACTACTGAACTGAACAAGGTCTGTTACCAAAGCCTCTTTTATGTCCACCTCTCTGAATACCCTGATTTATTTTCCTACTGCGCACCAAACTAATTGTAAGCTGCACTGGGATTTTGAGAGAAGATGCCTCCCACATTACTCTAGTCAGCGCTACAAGATCTAACGTAACCTGTTTCTTTTAAAGAGAGGCTTGTGACAAAGGTTAAAGAGTTTCAAAATGGTAGGGTTCCCAATATATTCTGTTCTCACCTGATGACATGAGCAGAACAGCCTGAAGAAGGGCAACCTCGGTGTCATCCAGGTTAAATGAAGAAAGAGACATGCCCAGGTCAAAAATGGCATCAGACACCACACCAAGACCCCCATTTTTCAGCTGGCCCCTCGTCACCGCCATCTCCCCATTTAGTGTTAAAGTCTCACTCTCGGGGTCGTAGCGAACTGCTGCTCGGAGGGACATTATCTCCATACAGCAGCCTTTCAGAAGGATGATCTGGTCTTCACATGGCAGCTGCAGAAATTATAAACGGTAAAGAAAAAGGTACGTTTTTCAAACAGAGTTGGTTTTCCCACTACAACAAATCCATGAGCATTAAGTTGCAGTTCACCCCTCGCACAGTGCAGCTGCCCTCCAAACACACTGCTGACTGACTGCGCTGCACAAACCCCCAAGACCTTCAATCCTGCTTCCAGAAGCTGCAGCAGGTTAACAGCCACACGCCCCCTTAGGAAATCTAGTGATGACACAGCTGTAGGCAAGTGGTCTTGCACAAGACACTCAAGCAAACCGAGCTGGTTCAGATGTTGAGGTGAAGTGACCCAACTTGCAGAAGTGCTGCTCTCTGTGGGAGCATTCAGTTTGTGGGAGCATCACAAAATGAATACCGATAAACCTTAAGAATGTAGCTTTCCATCTTGCAGAACATTTTACAGTGAAGCAGTCCTGCCAGGTGCCAGGCTGGTGGTAACACATACTATTGGTTTGTCTCCCATTACAGGTAGATCTAACCAACGTGGCTGAAGTGGTCACTGTTCTCAGAAGTTTGCACTTCTCTCTTCTACTTCTGACCTCCTTCAGCTTACAACTTAGCATAACAGAATAAACTACAATTGGGCTATCCCAGTTAAACTCACTGCCAGCCATGTTTAGCTCTGACCTGAGCAGAGGCAAAGACATTTGGGAGGGTCTGTAAAAGTGGACTGCTTTTAAAGAAAAGGCATAAAATACATTTTTGTATCCAGCACAGGTACCTCAATCTGTGGGGCATGTACCCCTAATCTTCACTGCCCATTTAGACAAGAGAACTTACTAAGCTCTGTTCAGCCTAGTAAGGCCGATCCTTCCAGACTTCCTACATTATCTCCTCTAAATTGGTGGAGATAGGCTCTGTATTTATAGAGGATAACCAGAATGTTGACAAAGGAGGAGAGCATGTAAAGCATGTCTGTATGTTTTCATAGGTAATGCAATGACAGCAAGACCGACAAGAATATGTTAAGACTGTCACTGAGTGGATAGCAAAGGTCACATATATGAAAAAGCAACTCACTTTAATCTGGCTTGAAAAGAGGCAAAAATCCATCCATTTTTGATTCATATAATGTTATTCTATTTACCTGATTTGCAATTCAAAGTTTAAAAAAAACCCCATCAACGACAGGTTTACGTGGCAACTATGCACTCACAAAGCAAGTACACTGACTTGGTGTAACATGATGCAGAGTGGATGCCAGACAGCTCCCTAAGGCAAGTGGAAAGCAGTTCCTGGTTAGAGAAGAGTTTTCAGCACAAAGCTAGTCACAGTAAGAAAAAGGAGTTGAATCACACAGCTGGTATTCCAGCAAGGCCAGCCTCAGGTGTGAAGTGTTGGAGACCAAGGAAAATGACTCATTCTGTTCAAATTACCTTTTCTGCAGATCACACTCAGCTCAGCAGCGTGGGGAAGGCTGCACAGGCACAGTGGCTGTCTTGCTACCCAAGGACAGCACCAACATTTGGCTGCT